TAAGCTGCAGTTGACCTTCCGATGGTCCCTCATTCCACAGAGGGGACAAGGTTCCGGGGATGGTTGAGGATTAGGACATTGTCTTGCCCATTGGCCTGTTTGTTTACATTTAAAACACGGGCCTGGTGGCGTCACTCGCCCCTTTCCCCAATCTGACCGAGGACGTTCCGGGGGTCCGTTGACGGTGGCTGCCAACATCTGATATTTAGCCTGATCCCTCTTTTGTTTTTGAAGTTGTTACTCCTCATCCCTATTATTTAATGCCTCAAAGGCGGTTTGTAACAGATCTCTTTGTGGGGTTTGAGGAACATCCTCTAATTTTTTTTTTTTTTTTGAGACAAAGTCTCACTCTGTTGTCCAGGCCAGAGTGCTGTGGCATCAGCCTAGCTCACAGCAACGTCAAACTCCTGGGCTCAAGTGATCCCTCTGCCTCAGCCTCCCGAGTAGCTGGGACTACAGGCATGAGCCACCATACCCGGCTAATTTTTTCTATATATTTTTAGTTGTCCAGCTAATTTCTTTCTATTTTTAGTAGAGACGGGGTCTCACTCTTGCTCAGGCTGGTCTCGAACTCCTGAGCTCGAACGATCCTCCCGCCTCGGCCTCCCAGAGTGCTAGGATTACAGGCATGAGACACCGTGCCCGGCCCATCCTCTAATTTTTTAAGTTTGCGTCTGATGTCAGGTGTGGCTTGGGAGATAAAATGTATATCGAGAAGTAAAATTCCCTTGGGAGTAGTAGGGTTAGGACTGTATATTTTTGTAAGGCTTGGTAAGCCTGGACAGGAAGAGAGCTGCATTTTCATCTCATCCCTGTGTGATTTCTTTTAGTTTTTCGTAATTGACTGCCTTGTAGGCAGCCTTTTTCAGGCCCACTAACGGGCATGTGATCATATGATCTCTCTTAAGCCCATCCTTCTGTCCCCTCTTGAGGTCCTATTTGATAATCCCATAATGGGTCTGTTCTGGGAACGGCAGTTGTCCCCACTGGTTGGGGGTCGTCTGTGGGGATCTATGGGTGTCTACGGATTTTGTCGCCATGTGCCTGGGCATTGAGCCAACCCTTTCCTTCCCCTCAGGAGATAAAGTAGAGGAAAGAATTATGTAGAGATCATGCCAGATAAGATCATACGATTGAGTTAGATACTCAAATTCTTTGATGAAAGCATGAGGATCGGTTGAGAAGGAACCTAGTCTTTTCTCTATCTGGGAGAGATCGGAAAGGGAGCAGGGAACATGTACCCGCACGATGCCGTCTGCCCCAGCCACTTCCCTGCATGGGTATAAGCCTCGTGCGGTGGAATCTGCAGGTCCCGAGATTTGGGCAGAGTGAGAGCGTAGTGGGGGGCGGGGGTGAGGAGGGGGTGTGGAGTGGGTTCAGGTGGCGGTGGAAGAGTTCTATATGGGGGAGGGCCGAGATCTGAGGGATCAGGATCTGGAGTTTCTGGCGGTTCGGGGGCTGAGGGAGGAAGTTGGGAAGGAGGGTCTAGTGCGTAGTAGAAAAATTTGTGCCAGATTGCAATTCTGCCAGAGAGAGGGTCGTGAGTGGAGAGTAAAGAAAGCTTGGACATAAGGGATTTCGGACCATTTGCTATTGCGGTGACAAAAATTATCCAGATCTTGTAGTATGTTAAAGTCAAAAGTTCCATTTGCAGGCCACAGAGAGCTTTTATCTAACTTATGTTGTGGCCAAGCTGTATTATGGTGAAAGATAAGTCATTCTGGCCGAATTTTATCAGTGAGACCTAGTGTTTGGAGGCTTCAGAGAAGGCACCCCAAAGGGGTAGTTTTAGGAGGAGTAGACTGAGAGTTTCCCATGTTCCTGGAAAGAGTAGGGGTCACATGGGGCCAATTCTAATCAATTCTAGGCGTCCCTAGAACGAGGGAATGGCACGGGAGTAACGAGCGAGCGACTAGCGCTAGACAAGTAGGAACAGGCGTCCCTGTGTCCAACAAGGGCCCTGGGGACTGAGGTCCCTCCGGCTTACCAGCAGGACTTTTCAAGTCGAGACAAGTAAATGAGAAACGAGAACGAAAGGAATTGGGAAACGAGCTTGTGAGCTCCCTACTCACCAGGAACAGGGTATCTCAGGGTGTAGATTTAGGAGGTCAGCAAGGAAGATCCGAGTCGCGGTCCAGCGTCTGCCTCTCAGCTTGGTTCAGGAGGGTCCGAGTGGACAATTACTTTACCTGAGCCGAGCTAGAGTGCTCTGCCTACACTCCAGGATCAGAGACAAGTTAGAGAGAGGTCCGTGCACGGCTCAGGAAAGATCCATGGGAACCTTACTGATGACCCAGGGACTCAGAGGGAGGCAGGATTTGGGAGTAAACCTGGGATGAGATGCCACTGCCTATTGCTTCCTGAGTTGCGAGCCTTGCCTGCTAGAGTCCTGGAGGTCATGTCCACCAGGTGTGCCCTCCTGGGTTTCGGCACCAAATGTCAGGTCCAGAGAGAGAAACAAATGTGTAGCCTCATGTGTAGCAAAATGCTGTTTATTTTGAGCATCTGGATGCAGATGGATGGAGGCTGAAGAAGGCGTCCACAAAAGAAAAGGGAAGAGCCTTGGGTATAGAGCGTTTTTATGGGAGGAGTAAATAAATTATTTTCAAACAACCAGGAGGGATAAGGAAAGTAAGTTCCCCTTTTGCATTTCATTCCCTTATCTCCCTAGGGTCTGGCAAAGGTTACATGCCTAACACACCCCTAGGAAGGGGAGAGCAGTGGGTTTTAGAGGAGATTTGGATGGAAGTTTTGGGAGGGTGAATTCTTTAAGCCTAACAGACTTTGTCCTTGGGGTCTGTACTGAGTTGAATACCGTCCCTCCAAAACTTCACTTGTTCACTTGGAACTTGTAAATGTGACCTTATTTGGAAATAGGGTCTTTGTAGATGTAATTAGTTAAATTTAGATGAGGTCATACTAGATAAGGGTGGGCCCAAATCCAGTGATTGGTGTCCTTAAAAGAAGACACCAAGAGACACAGGAGGAGAAAGACCACCTGGAGACAGAGGCAGAGATGGCAGTTATGTTGCCACAAGCCAAGGAACACCAGGGTCCGCAAAAGTTGGAAGAATCAAGGATCCTTCTCTTGAACTTTTAGGGAAGCATGGCCCTACTAACACCTTGATTTGGGGCTTCTAGCCTCCAGAATTGTGAGGGAATAAATCTCTGTTGTTTAAGCCATCCAGTTTGTGGACATTTGTTAGAGGAAATTAATACAGGGGCATGAAATGAAGTACGTTGAGAATCAGTGATGAGTTAAGGTTGCAGCAATCTGATGTTGCAGAAAACTAACATCCCTAATGAGAAATAGTCAAGCAGAATTTGCCTGAACTAGGCCGGGAGGTTAATGGTTGAGAGGGCAGGTTTTGGAGTCAAACAAGAACTAGTTTGGAAACTACAGCTCAGGTGCTTATTTGCGGTGTGACCTCAGGCAAGTGACTTTGCCTCTTTGAGATTTCATCATCCATAAAATGAACATAACCAAGACCCTCTTCATCAGGTTATTGTGAAAACTAAATGAAATAAGGCATTTAAAAGTACTTAGTCCAGTGCCTGGCACGTAGTAAAGGCTCGATAAAAGAGAGCCAGCATGTATGAGTAGAGCACACAGTAGGTCTACCCCACCTGAAGTTGCCTTAGTTCAGCCCTGTTACATGACCCTGCCGATTTCCTTCACTATACCACCTGTGATTATCTTCTTTATTTACTTATTGGCTCTCTTCCTACCGGATTGCAGATTGTAAGCCCCACAGGACAAGGGCAGAGTCTCATTTACGGTTGAATATTCAGGACCTAGCACAGAGCCCAGCATGTATTTATGAGATGGATGGACAAGTGAATGGACAGTGGGTACTTTGTCTTGTGAGTATTAAAAGGAGACATTTTAATCAATATCATTCATTTTATTCCATCTGTGTAGTCAAATAATTGCATTAGAATTCCTTTGCAATCCTCCTTGCCACCAACAATTTCTCTTGTCTGCTGTTTTAAGCCCCTGCAGGGGGAACCCAGGCTCCCTGATATGTAAAATACGGACATCCTGGGACCTTCAAAAGCATGCATCTGTGCTCTTGCTGGGGACGATGGACTGTGGAATGTCAGCCTGTGCCTGGCAGATGGGAAGGGAACTGCCCCTCCTCCCACCTGCTCTGCTTACTATGTCTTATCGGGGCATGGAAAAGGCAAAGGGGATGGATTGAGGGGGCATGGGGAACAATTTGGGGATTTATAAAATCTTCATGAATATCGTCCTTTTTCTCAGAGTCGGGTTAGACTGGGACACCACCTGCTTCCAGCAGCACTACCAGGGAGGACCTCACAGGGTCAATAAAATTCTCTGAAGAGTCTGTGTCTCAAGTGATCCCAGCCTCTGCATTCCCTAGGGACCTAAGAGGTCACAGTGGCTGTGAGTGGGGATCTTCAGGGTCCCAGGAAGGGCCCTTGCCCTAACAACAAGAGGCCCTCAACTGAAGTCTTGTCATTTATCTCTGAAAGAGCCAGGTCGACACGCTTGATCCTCATCCCATCACGGTTCTTGGTCCTCAGTGGCAAGAGTGACCTGAAGGTGGGGACTTTCATAGCTCCAGAACCAAGGAGGCCCCAGCAGTTGAGCAGGAGCAAGGGCTGGCCAGCCATCCCATCTGACACCCTGAGTTCCCAAGAGAAAAATCCATTCTTCTTCTCAGATGTCCTCCAAGTTTCTCATCGCTGGGCCTGAAGGCTCCATCTGGCTCCTGTGGTCTCTGGAGGATGTAGGCACTAAGCCTTCTTGCTGGGAAGGTCCCACGAATGGAGCCTGTGCCAGGCCTTTGCCTGCTGCCCACCTTGCCATTCCCACAGGCACTAGCTACCCCGCAGTTGTGCGCAGGTGGGCATGGCCAGGCCACTCTCCAAGAGTCGTCCCAACACTCATCAGCAAAAATAGGGAAGCATCCAGGCCCCTGGGATGGTTTGAGTAGGATGAGAGGGCCGAGACCCCTCTCTCTCCTCCAGGGAGTGAAATGATTTCTGACTCAAGTTGTTTAAAACTGTGAAAGAAGACACATCAGCAATCAGCAGTACGGGTCCCTGGAATCTGTCCACGGGGTGATTTTCACATCGACCTCTGTCTCGGTGACTGAGGACCTTGGGGCTTCATTTTTCCCTTCAGGCCCAATGTCCCTCAGACACTTCCTCCAGCGGGCCAGGCAGCGATGGGCGGAGGAGCGAATCTCCCAACTCCGCAGAGCATAGATGACAGGGTTGACCATGGAGTTGACAAGACACAGCATGGAGCAGAAGGCAAAGACCTTCTTGACTTGGTCGCTGAGCGTGGTGGTCAGGCTGTGGACCATGAGGGCCAGTACCGGGAACCAGCACACGAACAGCACAGCCAGCACCAGCCCCAGGGTCTTGGCCAACCTCACGTCCAGCCTCATCCGGGCCATTCCCGGCACCTGCCTGTGCCGGTGCTCAGCCAAGCTGGCTACATGCTGATGGGCCTTCCAGAGGACGTGCCCGTAGGTGTAGAAGATGCCAGAAAAGAGGAAGGCGATGAACAAGAGCCAGCCCAGCAGATAGTCATTGGGGATCAGTGGGAAAAGCTCAGAGCAGGGACTGGGACAGCAAGTCCATCCCATGAGAGGCAGGTAGGAGACCAGTGCCGAGACGACCCACGCGACGCCCAGGGTCGCCAGTGCCCTCCCACGGGTCAGGAGAGCTTTATATGCAGATGGGTAGCGCAGACAGAGGTAGCGGTCGATGGCGGTCAGCAGTAGGCTGCCCACAGAGGCTGTGAAGGTCATGGTCACGCTGCCAATCTTCAGCAGGAAGATGGCCTTGGAATCCACGCCATGGAAGACATGGAAATTTACAAAGCTGCATGCAAAGACCACACTGGCCAGGAAGTCAGCTCCAGCCAAGCTGCCAATGAACAGGTATGAGGGCTTCTTGCGGAGCCGGTGGGAGGACAGAATCAGGTAGAGCACAGCCAGGTTCTCCAGGGCGCTTAGCAGGCCCAGAAGGGTGCACAACACTGCAACGGCTATCTTTTGGGGACCACTCAGGATCATGTAATCCTTCATGGGGTTGAAATCCAAGCCATCGTTGGAGCCATTGGCTGTCTCCATCAGCCAGCATCCCTCCATGGGGTGGGTCCTTTGGCTTCCACTGGGCTTGCTTAGAAGGCTTTGCTGCAGTACAATGAGAGAAGAAAAGAGTCTTTTGAAGTCAGCACATTAATGATCTCACCTGATAACTGACTCTAGCCACAACTTTTACCTCTGGATGGAGCATATGTTGGAAAGTCAATTTATATATCTTTTGCTTATTTTTATTTT